GAAGAGAAACTCGCCAAAGTAGAATTTAGATCAATAAAAACTTTAGACTGGCGTAGATTTCGCACAAGAATACTATTGATTTCGAGAGCAATCAAGCATGACTTCCTCTTATTTTAGCTCCTGAAAAAACGAGACCTATGTCTGATCGCCCTTGGAAATCGATAGAATTTCATTCAAATCCATGCCAATCTAAAGGTTGCTTTTTGCTTAACTTTAAATTTCAGCACAGCCAATATTTTGACAGGCAATGAAAAATAAAATCACCTAAATTAAGGAAATAATCGAAAGGGGTAAAATTAACTTGAGGCATACTGAACTTTTTGTTTTTAATTATTGAATAACAAGATGTTTTTACAAACTGAAAAATAAAGTTAGTACCCAAAACGAGTAAATTATTGAATCGAAAAGCTCGTTCATGGTTCGAAATTTACTCTGTCTTTGTGTTTTTACCCCATACGCAGTAAACTCTCTGCCATTTAAAGGTTGAAGTAGGTCTTTGTTCGACAGCGCAATCTTCGTTCATCTCGCATATAAATAAGTCTTCGCAATGTATGATACTGCTTTACATTTCTCTTTAAAACTTGGTCGGCAATTGTATGAAAGCCGGCATTTTATGAAATACCTAGGCATTTTATAGAATGCCGAAAACTGGCCGGTAATGTATTGTTACGAAATGTTCAGCCGCAGTATGATGGCTTCCCAGCAAAGCAGTTTTAGGGTTGCCATAAAATGGCAAAGGACGACGGGGTTGCCATATTTGGTGAGAAATCACCCACTTGGCGATATTTGGCGACAGAATTGCCGATATGCCATGGACGGATGGAGAAGCTTCTGGAACGAATTCTTACCGGTTTAGCCCAGAGTGTTCTCGAACACAAGCCGAAAGCTATATAAACCCTTCTGGTCCGCAGTCAGGATGTGCCTCGTCTAGAGTGCGAGACAGTTAGTATCGAGTAAGTGTGCCTCGTCTAGAGAGCTTATAGTCAGTGATTGAGCGAGTGTCTCGAAGTCTAGTGCCGAGTTGGTCGTCGAGTGCATCGAAGCGTCTCTTAGTCTATAGCGGTTAGTGCATCGTCGAGAGAGTGTGTTAAGCTCCAGGAACGACTGAACCGAAGAGTCGGGAGCTTTGCTCTGTGTGTTGTCGAGTGCATCGCGAGTTGCAGCGTGGAGAGTACATGGAGTTCGGAGAACGACCAACCAGAGTCGGGAGCTGTACTCTGGTGCTTTGCAGGAAGCTGTCTCCACCGTTATTGCCTGACAGGGTAAAAGCTGTGTCGCTGATTGTTCCAACGTGTTTATAGTAGATCTTCGACGACTGTAAAAAGTGTTATTGGAGCTCTCCTGATTAACATTGGCTAAATAAAGTGTGTTTCGATACTTCATCAAGTGTCGTCGTTATCAAGTGTTCACTCCAAATCTACGAACCCCGTACGAACGTGAAGGAAGAAAATAACGTAACAACTGGTGTCAGGAAAAAAAACGTAACATAATTCATAATAAATCCTAATCGTAATGCATAATTCATAATAAATCACTTTCATTGAAGGTATCAGCATCGCTATTGTAATATGAATCGGTATGTGAAGAATCTCCGTCATTCCATAAAATGTCATTTTCGCTTCCGTCCAAAGCCGTGGACACCCGTCATTTCGTAATGCACGAAAACATAAGAAAAAAGGTCATTTTCTATCATTGGGAAAATTTCATGCTTTTGTCTTCTGAATGCTCGCCTATTTACATTTGTTTCTTGTAGCGATTGTTTGAATTTTTTCCAGTCTCTTATTAATTTTTCATTCACATTCCATTCTCTTCAACATATTCACTAATCTTCAGTTGAATCCCACCGTAGAACTATTATTTTTTCTAAGCTCTTCCAAAGTAAATCCCCCCCCCAAAAAATACCCATAACACACCACCACGAAATTCACCGCAAAACAAAATATCGGCAAGAATTTTCTGAACTTTAGATATGCGCAGGCCAGTAAATTTAGAGTACGTGCATGATTTCTTTAACGAAGAACAAGTTGAACGCTTTAAAATGAGAGGGGATAAGAAATGGTTCTTCAGGGAGATATTGAGTGACCATTGAGAATATCAATCGGAGTGACAAAACAGATGAATCCATTATGAGAACTAGTTCTGAGAGGAGTACAGCTGATAATTTTCTACTTTTAGATGAAGATCAAATACGTGACTGCGACTTTTACGCGGGGAAAATATTTTGACAATTTGTCCGCTTCAAAACGGGGGGGGTACGACTATTACGCTAGTAAACACGGTAGTTGGCCCGTCCCTTCATAGGAGGCAACGATTACCCACCTATTAAGTGCTTCCATAATAAAGAGACCACCGCTTCCTGCCTTATAAGTGGCTTAATGCCTATAAAACGGCTAGAGTTCACCATTGAAGAAATAAATAGTCAAGAATATTATGATATTAGGGTTTTTTTTTCCATTTCTTATTACTATTTAATGTATATAACTAAAAACGTATAACTTTAAAAAATTATATACATCATTTTATACATTTTAGCCATAGAATGGGAAGTAAAATAGTAAAGGGAAAAAGAATTACTGCATCTGAAGTCAGGAAAATTATTCCTTTTCTCAACAGCGTAGCGACGATATACATGACAGCATCTTTTTTAGAAATGTCATCTATCTTATGGTGTAAGATTACATACCATTCTCTTAAGTTTATATTTTATTAAGAAATTTGATATCATTATTACTTAAAATTACGGGGCTGCTAATGAGGTATTTCAATGCTACGTTTTAATACCGTCCTCTTGTCCGTCCGTCATTATTAGCAGCCGTAGCATGACTTTAAAAAAAAAGGGAACATTTTGAATAGAGGCGCCAAAATTTTAAACACTTCGGACACATTTTATTTGGAATGTTATTTTTCGATCTATCCTGTGATGCAAAGTTCCTGTGATTATTAGTTTGTTAAAGAAGAATTTGTGGGGAAAATCCAATACTTACTTTTAAAAAAATCCTGTTGCATCAAAACTTAGAAAATCCGCTTTGGAATCTTGATTTACCATCGCAAAGACTTTTGCGTGCAAAATTTCAAGAAAATCAGCTACTTAAAAAGAGATCAAAAATTAATTTTAATCTTTAATACTACTGAAGAAAATAACAAAAGCGAAACAATCTTATACAAAACCTGTAATAACAATAAAATGTTTTCATACAATATTGACTGAAAGCCAAGTTAAGTTATCAGGACTTGTATTCCTCTTGACTTGCTTTGGAAACATGAACTATCCTGACTCGGAACAGGGAGCTTACTCAAGCTATGTTCAATAAATTGTGAAGTAGACAATACACACAGGAAGGGTATACGAAACCCTTTATTTTTCTATCTTTACAGGTATTTCCGGAACTTCGGAATACAGAGACCAACCACTTGTGGTCTGAACGTAAGAATATAAAACTACTAACTAAAACTCTAACTAAAAGTAACTTTGAATTAGTATACAAGTGCCTAGCATTAAGATTGGCCTTTATTTAACAAAGGTCCGTATGTAGTACGCCGAGCTGCTAAAACTACAATACGTTTGAAATTATCAAGAGGACTAAACCTCTGGCCTTGAAGGCAACCAGTAACCGAGTGAAAACTCGTAAAACGACAATGGCAAGCGGCCTGCTTCCAATAACTCCTTCCTCTCTCTTGCTTAGCAAAAAGCCACAACTTAAGTACTTGGCGTTAGCAAGACAAATTTGCATAAATAAGTTAAAGCTTTTAATTCTGGCCGGAAGTAGAAAATAAGAAGTGATAGTAAAGATTTAAAATAAAATAAACGCTAGTAAAACTTAGGATTCTTACAAAGTTTCCCAAAATACCTAGCAGTAGTGCTTCTATCAGATTTTGTTGCATAGAAAAAGAGAAAAGGGAAGTTTACTCCGAAATAATACATTTTTAATAACTGAGAAAATAAAGGGCGAAATCAATATTAAGTATATGCATAAAAAGAAAGCAAAGTAGGGATGAATTCAAGCCAAAAAATGCTGTTTAGTTAGATAAATGAATTTGTAAACGGAATTCCACTTTTAATATTTGCAATTAAGCATCAAAACTTAGCATTGCGCTTATTATCAAATGGTTGCGTGCCATCGATTTCTTCAATAAAAACAGAAAATAAATTGAAGCTACTATATTTTAATTTTAAGCGACTAAGTATTAAAAATAAAATATTTCATGTCATATATTTAATTGATCACTATTAGTGATCAATTAAAATGCCGGATTACATAATATGATTCTTAGATTCTCCTCAACATTCATAATTTGCTCCCACGTACACGCAAATGCTGAATCCTAAAAACATCACTGACCTTAATGAACCTAATTTACCAATGGCTGAGCAGTAAAGTCGCTGAGCATCGGTAGTTTGGGCTGGGCTCGACACCAGGTGTACTGGTAGCTGCATGGACGTTTTCGTATTTTTCCCACATATGTAGGATGGATACGAGCCAGTTTTCCTTATAAAGCCCTCCATTAAGGCATTTCTTCCATTAGGTAAACAGTCCTCGTGCGCTTTGCCATAATCAAATAATCCCAAATATTATGAACTTCATAATGACAACATCTTAAAACTTTAGTAATGTGCAGGGGAAAAAAAATCTTCTGTATATTTTTGCTATATAGTCTTACTGAAACAATATTATAAGTGGAATTTTTATGTATGTAACTGAATAAAAAAATCAATTTATGCACGAACTCTTGAATTGAATCATGTTAAATGAACAAAAACTTTGTGTTTGGCGTAGATTTTTAAGAACCTTCGTTTGCTCTGATGAAGACGAATTTGTACCTTTTCGCCCTCGAAATCGACAGAGTTTCCTTAAATCTACACCAAATAGAAGGTTTTCCTTTCACTTAATTTCAAGTTTAACTTTGGGGTATTTCTCTTCTCTCTTGATGAATCATGTTATTTTGTCCCAAAAAATGGACTTTAGATAATGCACTTCTCTTAGATTTCTTTTCTATTTTAGAAAAACGGAAGATGCAATATGGAAATATTGAAGGTCTGGAAGAAGGTACATACATCAAACTGACAGGAACACCTCAGTATACGGTGGAATGTGGACCGCCTGTTCGAACAAACAGTAAAAACAGCTCTTTCCATGGAGGTGGTAAGAATGGTCGTAAAAGAGAAGACTCTACTTACAGCAGCATGTCTTCCAGCAGTCAAGGCAATGCGACTGTTTCGAATTACGTAAGTAATTACGAACTGCAGTAATCACGCAGCATTTTCACGTAATTCTCTCTAAGGCTGTTCTCTAAAAAATATGAATTTTAAATTGTTTTTACAGTAGGTGCCGCTTAATATAACATTTGTTCACAGCTATTTTGACAACATTAAACGGTGGAAAAAAAATATCCTACCAAATACAAATGAAATGTAACTAATTAAATATGAATATAACTAGAAACATATAAATAAGTACTTTTACAGCATTTAAATTAGGAAAAAGCAAAAGTTTGTTAATAAATTATTCTTAATGTTTTTAAAGCAAAAGTTCATTTATGAATTGTTCATAACGTTTCTGAAAACTATTTGCACGATATTGATGTTTTTCCCTAATCTTAATACTCGGATGATATCCCTCATTGGAAGAGAACATGCTGAAGTAAAATTTAATTTTAATTTAAGCAAAACAGCAACCTTAGTTTGCATAGATGTTTCCACGGAATCTCTTTTACTCCTGATCAAGGGTGACCTGTGTCTGATTGATCCGAATATCGGTAGAGTTTGTCAAAAACCTACGCCAAACTAAAGCTTATTTTTTGGCCAATTGTAAATGGTTGTGGGAAACGTAAACCAACTTGTTTCGAGACTTAAGCTTGTAAGACTTTCATTGTGTAAATCTCAGTTACTGTAGAAAGTGACGAGTCTTAAGAACTAAATAGCGAATAATCGCTAAAGTTCGGGTGACAAGAAACGACAAGATAGAAGTGTAACTAACCCTTTATTATTCCAATAAGATTTAACAAAACTCCGCCTGGGAGTGTACAAACAAAGCCCTCACTTGGGCTTGAACTTAAGAGACTAAGAATTAAACTAAAACTAAGATTAAATAAAGCATTATAGCCGAAGCTATCAAGATTCAAATCGATTTGGCCCCTTAACATATTTGACTACGAAGCTTAGCAAGGGCCTGAGTACGGCCGAGCGTAATAACAGCTTTGAGAGAGAGAGTGGCCAAAATGGCAGACGCGCGTAAATCAGAAATTGTGATTCTCTCTGACTCTGTAAGTAACTTCGTGCTTTAAATACCGCTCCTCGTCATTAAATATTCAACAAGATTCCAAAACTACGTTCTGGCCGGAAGTAGTAAGTTGAAGTTAAGAATTTGACAGGAAAGGAACTTTAACTTAAAATTTAACTGTTAATAAAATTAACATAATCCTTACAAACTTTTACTTCGCAATACTTCTCTATCACTTGGCAATTTTTGTATATATTTTGACTTTATTTGGCGACTTATATTCAATTTTAAAAAATTACTCTATACTATTTTGATAATGTTAACCGCATTATTGATTACAGTAAGCAATATATTTTCTATGCTTTGATATTCACACATCATGCTTCACACATATAATTAAACAAATACATAATATTAGAAGTAAAATAGAGTAATTTTTACTTGGATTTTATTAATCTAACACTAAACAGAAATAACTGCAGATACCAATTATACATATAGGATAGGTTAGGATTAATAAAGAGGAAAGTAATGGCATTTCATCGGTTTTTAATAATGAAAGAAGAAACATGATGATGGTATATACAGAGTTGAAAGGAAGTAAGATGAAAAATGAGGTTCACTTCATCTTAAAAATAAAATAGCACAACGTCATTGAAGAAACAGGGAGTCAAAGTGGAAAATTCTAAATACAGTAAGTTACATGTGGCAATTAAATAAGTGATTGAAAATTCTGTTATGATTTTTTGATTTGTATGTTCAAAGTTAAATGTTAAGTGGGAAAGCCGGAAAAGATGCATAGACGAGCACGATTTTGTCTATCACCATCTACTCCAAAACCTAAATGATGTAAAAGCTTGATATGCTGGGTACTGGCGGTTTTTAATGAACTGCGATGTTGGGATAATCGTTTAGAGTGGCCATTATTTGTGTGTTTCGTTTTTACCAAATATCAAATTCACAAAATATGTATGTTTCGATTTCATCAAATATTATTTGTCTGTTTTGAGAAATTATCACACCAAAATATATTAGTAATTTTTTCTTATTCTTCACAATAATCTTAATTCTTCTTAGTATATTACACAATAACTATGATGTTAAAACACTTAAAAATCATAGAAGAAATTGTGAACATACGATTCAAACAGATGTAAAATATAACTTCAAACATATTGTTGCGGATTTTGTAATTAGTTAGCTATTTTAGTTGAATTGTAATTAAAATTGTTTCATTTCCCCGTGCAATGCAACGCGCCACGAGTTTTAAGAGAAAGCTACGCCAAAAAGTAAAGAAGTGCCAGATAAAGAACCCAGTTTAAAGCGCTTCAGATTTCTACAGTGAGCGGCGGCAGTAATGGACTTTTCATAATGGGACGTATAAATGGAGTTCCTAGCAATATGACCATCAACAAAGGAGCCATCATTCGAAAGTTCGTCCGACTCGACGGAAAGGACTCTGTTCGAAACTAGTCGCCTTGGGATGGTCTATACACAGTCCTAAACAGGCTGAACGACGTCGTAGTTCGGATCCGTAAGTCATCCAAATCTAAGCCTAAAGTCGTTCATTGCGGCAGGCTAGCTCTTTACTATGGCCATAGTACGCATTGTGTATAATGTAAAATACGTAGTATAAGACCATAATACTTTTTGTTTCCAAATTTTTATTTGGTTTGTATTAAGCTACTTATTGCATTTATCATTTATGTTGTTTGCTATTGTAATGTAATGTGTATTATTAAATTCATGCTTTTGTTGTAAGTTTGTATTCCTGTATAGAGATTGTACTGTCCGGAACGTGCAGTCTTTGGGAAGAGGGCAGTGTTACGGATTTTGTAATTAGTTAACTATTTTTAGTATATTTGTAATTAAAATTGTTTTCGTTCCCCGTCCAATGTTGCACGCGAAGAGTCTTAAGAGAAAGCTACGCCGAAAAAGTAAAAATACAAGAGCATGCGCATTTAAAATTTAATAAATAGATATCTCGTAATTGTACTCTTTTGCTTTCCAGAAACCTCGAGAAAATACCAGAATGTTCTTGTGCATGATTAAAAAGCTTTTAAAAGCCGGAGCAAAATATCTCAGTTCAGTTGTTTACTAAGTTTTTGTTGTTGATTGTAGCGAATTAGCGGTGAGATCGAATTAGCTTTCTCTATGTTTTGAATTGAGTTCTATTTAACGTTTTAGTAGTTTAAAATATAACTACTGTTAGATATTGCGATACTCTACGAATATCTCGGAGGAAATTTCAGCAATTTGTTTTACTTCTTGGGATAACAATAAATTTTATTAACTTTCTATCGACTTGTGCATTCAGTCCATTAGGAACCCGTACGCACGCAATAATATTTTCAAACATATAAGAATATGTTAAAAATAAAAAATAGAATTTCTCTTTAAGCTATCAAAATTAATAACTTCAAATGCGTTTAAACTTCAAATAATATTTTACAGTCCTTGCAAAATATATGCACTACAAGAAATAAGGAAATACATGCATCAAATTCGAAAACGAAAGTGTTAATTCTTCAAAGTATTTTTTTTTTTATACATCAACAATTCTTTAAACACTCTTCAATTAATTTCTATCAAAATCAAGTATCTTTAGTTTATTCAATTAAACTTTATCAATACTGTTCACTTAATTATTACCAAAACCAAATGCCGTCATGTTATGCAGTTATACTTCATCAAATATGCATAAAAACATCATGAAGAGCATTAGTTCAGTTATTCATTACTTCATCACAAGTATTATTTTATCATAAAGCAGATAAAAGCAATGTTTTCTTGAAATTATTCAAACAGTGTACTTACTGCTTGGATACATAACAGCAGTGGCAAGTCATCACGCCATTCGATGAGGAACATCAAAACAAAAATTTGTGTTTAGTGGAAATGAAAGGCGTCTAGGAGTATTTAGGAAAGTTTAAAGAAGTCTAAAGAGTTCGAGGGGCCAAGCCCTCATGTAGGATGAAGTTAGGATTAATAACGAGGAAGTTAGTGGCATTTTATCGGTTTTATAATGAAAGAAGAAGCATGATGATGGTATATACAGAGTGAAAGGAAATAAGATAAAAAATTAGGTAAGATGTTCAGTTCATCTTAAAAATAAAACAGCACCACGTCATTGAAAAAACAGTCAGTCCCTTTTGTTTAATCACATCGAAATGCATCGTCGAGCTGCATCCGTCGCGACGTCCTAACCTCATCTGCTGATATCCTCTTCATTTCCTCACTCAACTTGGAAAAGTACTGCTGATGTGGTTGCCAGATGTAGGAAAAGAGGCGGATGACTATATACATATAAATTTAAAGTTTCAGACAATTGAGTTTACATAAACTTCACAGAGAGCCGCCAAGACGTATGCTTATCTTTTCACGTCAACTCTGTTAAGTTCTCACTTCAGCATATCTCTAACTTAAAGAAAACTACATTCGAGTGCAAAATTAAGATATTCTTCAAATTATGTCTATTTTTACGAAAAGCACTGAACCAGAAGTACTAATTATGCAAATATTCAGAGTCAAATATGTAAGCGTACATGTGCGTGTCTGCGGAGCTATGTTTGTGAAGGGGACATAAGCGCACGAGGGGTTTTCGGCGATTTGTGTGTTTCTATCCTTTCATGACATTCGCTATGTTTGTCGCAAGATTTGGTGTAAATTTTATGAAGTATCAGGTAAAATGAGTATTCACAAGCATATGGATGACTGAAGGAGATTGAGATTTGTCGGTAGATTGGAGGCAGGCCAGTCACTATTTCAGGTGGCTACAGAGCTAAATATAGGTCTGTACCACCATGTAATGTACAGCTATATATAGCTCACTGTCGTCTGCAATTTGTTAAAACGGTATCAAGGTGGATTCATATCGGGGAAACCTGGAAAAGGTCGCCTAAGATCCATAACGACGATTGAGGATCGTTTTTTGGCACTTTCATCTCGGTGACACAGGACTCTACAGCTTCACAGCTCTCACGTGAGCTGTATACTGCCACTGGGTTAGACCAGACTCCAATGAAGCACCGTACGTTTTACTTATGAGTCAAGATTCAGCCTGGACAAAGATTCTCGGCGTACTTGTACCTGGAGAGAGCCTGGAAAACGATACCATCACTCTCCTATTAGGAAAAAGAATCGTTAAGTTGGTGGGGGTATAACGGTTTGGAAAAGCATTGCGCTCGGCGGCTGCACACCCTTGAATGTGTTTCACAAAGCTCCTTGACTGCTGTGAAATATAGAGAGGAGATCTTAGAGCCCTACGTTCGACTTTTCAGGGGCGCAGTTTGTCCTGGGTTCTGTTAATGGACGATAACGCTTGTCCACATAGATGGTTGACGATTAGGTGGTCAGCTAGTCGACACAGGGGGTCAGCTAATCGATGATTACCTGGAAAGTGAGGATTTTCGCCGCATGGATTGGCCAGCCAACTCTTCTGACCTTAATCATATACAGCATGTCTGGAACGCTCTTAGAAGTAAAATTTATCTCGCTATTCTCGTCAAAGAAGCATTTCGGAGTTGGCAACTAACTTGCTGCAAGAGTGGGATCGAACTGCGATAGGGACTCCTCAGCTGCCTTCTGTCTGATACACCGTCACGCTGTGCGACCTGCCTGGCTGTGAGAGGGTATTATATCACATATTGGAATTATTTTCAGTTTGATAGCGCAACATGAATTTTGGCCATCCCTGGACTGATAATCATGCTTATACTGATAATCATGTGTACAAAAATCAAATGACTTTTCAATGGTACATCTCTTTCTATGCTATAAACGTATATTCATACAAATTTCATTAAAATGTGTCCATTGCTTTTTTAGAAATTCCATGTATAATGCACAAATTTTCTTAATTTTGGACACAAGTATACTTAACCATACTTGTCTTGCCTTTGGGTAATTACCATATTTAATAGATACTTAACATTTAGCTTTAACATAAAATACAGGAAAAGTGCAAAATCACAACTAAATGTTTTTTAAATCCTAAACGGCTTATAACAAATTTAAAGCAGATTAAAATGCTATATACTGAAAAGAATTATACTAATATATTTATTCATCCTAGCCTTGAAAAAGACACTAAAATAGCCTGGCACGCAGATGACATCGCGATCTGGCACTCCGGCAGGGATATTCATGAATCTCAAGCAGTGCCTTAGAAATCCTTAAATGGGATCGTCAGGTGGCTGCATAGCTTAAAACTCAATGCTGAAAAGACTATAGTGTGTCTTTTCAACAGATGAGAAGCATCGAGATTTAATGAACCCAAAAATAGACATTGAAGGCATAAAGACATCATGCCCATAAACAGGGAATCACCTTAGATGCAGAATTGAGATTCACTCAGGATGTCAAAATCCGTGCTGACAGAGTTTCGAAGAGACCGAGAATCATTAAAAGACTTTGAGGAATAAAGTGGGGAACTTTCCCCGGGACACTTAAAATAACATACACCTCACTAATTAGTCGAATCCTGGAGTATACTTCTTTCATTTGGGCTCATGCTTCCAGAGCTGCCTTGGTAAAATTAGAAAGTGTCCAGGCAAAGGCCGCAAAATCATTACCGGTGCAGTGTCTTCCACCAATAATTTAAAAGTAATACAGGAATATGGCCTCGAAACTGGCAAGGCAAGAAGCTGTGTACGAGAACACATCGCAAAGAAAACCTTTGAAAATTGTAATGTCAGCACTAGACTGAAAAGGTTATCTTCTATGCAATTTCACAAAGATACTAGAGCAGTTTTCGGCCTCGATCACAATAAATTTTCCATCTTTTAAGACCCAAAATTTCCTTCCAGTCTTCCTATTAAACTCTAAAATAGTACTCAGCCTACTAGAGCCCTGCAGTAAAAAGGAATTCATTGATTTCATTAAAACAAAAGGGATCAGGACCGTTGAGAAGTATCCAAAAGAGGACTTTATGCATGCTTATGCAGTTGGTTCATTAGATGAGACAATCAGTAATGGAGATTCTGGAGTCCCAGGTGATGCTACTTATCAGCACAAAACTAGCGCTGGATCTATAGTCTCTAATTTCACTTCCTAGCTTCTGGCATAGCGGGAGCACGTGACATGACTAGATCCCTTCCCATGTTCGAGCATGAAAAAGGAAACGTTTTCTTCTGTGACTCAAAGGTAGCTCTTCAGGCAATCTCGGATGGAAGCTCCCAGATCACCAATGAGATCCACTTTCGCCTAAATGAGCTTCAAAAGTTAAATAACGTCTGCATTCTCCAATGGCTGCCAGTTCATGTCAACATCACAGGAAACGAGAACGCAGATAAACTGGCATAAGAGGCTCGAAATCTCAGCAATAATGATAATGTAAACGTCACCCTTTCGGACGCAAATGCTATGGCTAAATACAGATTGAAGGAACTTTCAATTCCAATAGCACCAGCTCCATAATATCAATGGAGATCAACTTATAACTAAAAGACTTAGAACTGGCCATCACAGAGGATTGAAAACTGACAAAGAAGGTAGGAAAACCTACAGAAACTGTGATACCTCCCCGATACAGACCTGACAACTGCATATATTTTTAATTGTCTGGCCATCCTTGTTGAATTGCTAAAAACTGGGGGTCTTGTTTAAGAGACCAAACTTCTACGATCAAAACATTTTGCAGATTGTCAGGGTTGCCATCTTTGCGCATTGGCACTATTTGAATAGGCTTTATCATAGACACGACAACAACAATAAAAGTGATTTCGAATATCTACTACTATTATATTGGTCTTACTTTCCTTTTATTATAAGAAGGACAGAAGTAAATTTCGTCCACTAGAAAGAAATATTCATATAGGTAAAATAAATAGAACATTCATGGTAAGTAATATCACTGGTTAGAAATCTCTAATTCCATTTCTTTTCCATTGTAGGACACGTCACTTCAAGGCAACTTAATTTTTGTGATTGAACTGAAAGATATTTCTGTTTTTATCTCTCCCTGCAGAGTGAACCTTCAATTGATGCTCCTATCAGTGATAATGAACAAGATGTCAATTATGGACAAGTCACATTCAGTGTCTGGTGCCGCATGCCTGATGGTGCTAATCTCGGGGAATTAATTGTAGTCTTGAAGGTATAGTACCTGTAAATGTTTGTCCTTCAAGTATTATACACTTCTAATTTACATCAAAAGCCGCTAGATTTTTAAAAGGTGTTATTAAATTGAAACCATTGCGCATGCTCTGTGGTTTCATGAATTAATCTTAAGTATTCTTTATGTATCTGCACTTTTGAAATAATTTCCTCCTAAATAAACCAGACGTATAAAACACCCCAAAATGTTAAGAAAATATAATTTTAAACTAAATACATACACTGGCGAATAAATTAGAAACCCAAGATCAATATTTTATTGGACCCCCTATTGCACGGATAACTGCTCTGATTCGTTTAGATATCGAGTCTACATGTTTCCGCAGTGCATTTACGTCCAGAGAATACCATGCATTGGCTATGCAACTTTTAAAATCTTGTAAATTAGATGGAAGAGCAAAGTACTGTCGAATGCGCCTTTTCATCATATCCCACACATTTTCTATGGGGTTAAGATCCGGGCTATACGGTGGCCAGGAAAAGTGTTGGAAGTCAGACTGATAGACAGCGAACCAATTTTGAACACTTCTGGCACGATGTGTAGGTGTATTATCGTCCATGAAGTATTCGTCGCTATCAGGGTGAAAATACAACATTGCAGGATGCACTTGATCTGCCAGCATATCTAGATATCTCGTGTCTCTTTGTTTACCCTCGAGAAACACCAGGGCACTACTTCCATGCCAGCAGAACATGCCCCATATCATGATACTCCCACCAGACCTTTGCACAGTGCAAGTAAGGCAAGATGGATTCATGTCTTAATGGGGTTCTTGCCAAATTCGACGTCTTCTACTAGTGCAAAATAAGATGTAGCGTTATTCATCTGACTACATTGCCCGTTTTCAATCCTCAGATGTCCAGTGTCTTCTTTCCCGACACCACTGCAAACGAATTCTTACGCATCGGGGTATAGAGTAGTTTTTCTCATAGACACCCGATTATGCATTCCTATCCTCTGCAATTCTCTGCTCATGGTTCGAGCTGAAATCTGTTGAGAAGAGCCTTAGTTGACGATCTGTGTCAGTTGAAGCACAGTAGAGTCTCTGTTCTGCCGTACAATTCGTCGGAAACGACACCGATTACTCTATTGGAAAACTCTGCTTGAACCGCAGTTACGTCATCTAGAAAATAGCTGTAGGTTCTAATTCCAACTATTGAAAAATTTTGATATGGCTGCTTTTGAGAACCCAGTGAGATTTGCTGTCTTCGAAATCGAGACTCCCGCTAAACGGCTACCAACAATAAGCCCTTTTTCAAATGGTGAAATATCTGGCGTTTTTCCCATTTTATTTCATTCATCGTGAAAAACACTCTTACGCCTTACTTATACTAGGGATCTAACCAAGTGTCATTCCTAGCACGCATTCAAATGAAAATCTCAAAGGTTTTTAATTAATTGGCCAGTGTGTGTAATATGTAAGTTATTTTATTGAGGAAGACAGCTAGGAATAAACCTAGTCTTCTTTCTCAAAAACGCACGCTTCTGCAACCTTGTATCTTGGATTTTCTTCGTGCAATTAACTGGCTTATCAATTGAGGCTCTACAACCTTCTCATAATATTTGGAACAAAATGTAAATTTTATACAAGGTATGATGTGCCCTTATCATCAAACTTAAGTGTGCAATAAGTATGTTGTAAGTTCTGTTACAATGAAGTTTCTAAGAGTTAATGCATGTAAATTGCAATTCATTGAACTTTAATACCGTAAATTATTTTGAAAAATTTTACTTCATTAGAACATTGTAATTAAAACTAATTACTTAAACATACAGCAGTCATTCGGAAATCTATTTTATGGCTTTGTAGGCAACAAGGTAGGACCTCAGATCAGTGGTTCTCAATCTGTTTTCCCAATGCACTCCTTTCATCACTCTTTTCTTTCCAAAACTCGAAAATATATATATATATATATATATATATATATATATATGTATATAAACTTATCTAAATTACAGATTTATAATTTTATATTAGATAAAATAAAAATTAAAATAAAACATTATTCTATCCCAGGGAGAAAATGACAAAAGGAATTTAAAGTGTTACTAGGCAAAGCGAGTGGGAATGTTTGTTGTTTTACATTAATCTATATGATTATTAAAGCTGAAAAACATTTTTCTTGCAAATTTGATACCAAAAAGGAAAGGAGAAAAGCAATCAAAGTGTCAAATAGTAAAATAGGAGAAACAAATAAAAACTACTAATTAGCTTGTGCTTAATGTTTCAAACAGAACTTTTCAAGGGGTAATTATTCAAAACATTAAACCTGGATAATTAATGACTGCCGAATACACGTTCCGTTCTTCCTACACTTTGAGATCCATATCGCTACTAACTAATTGTTCAAAAATGTTAAACAGTATTTCTAGATATCTCAAAATGACAAGAAACTACCCCGACGTATCTTTGGCTCTCGATTAGTAATATTCAAATATTTAAAAAGTAATACAAAAAAATTTTAATTGAAAAGAAAAATTATATAAGAACGCTCGTAAAAAACTAAAAACCTTAAAACACTGTACACAAAATATTCAAAAACGTCATTCAAATTAATAATTTATGAAAAAACGTGTGAATTAGTCTCATAAGTATTATAATTTAGTAAATGAAAATGACTTATAAGTAACTTCAAATTCTCAACTTGTTATTAACGGAAGAATTTTTACATAAAGGTATTTAAAATAAAATTAAACGACTTTAAAATTGCAAAAAGGAAAAATTGACTCACGTCTGCGACTTGCTTCTGCAAAGTCTGCGACTATATACATTTATTTAGATTTAGATTATTTGTTAACGCATTTTATAAATTAAACAATATAAAATATAGGAAATGTTGATAAATATTAAAACTTGAATAAAAGTAGGTTTTTATATTCATAAATTGAAATTAAACATTTAAATAAAAGTCTAACTAGGGGGGAATTTCGTCGGTTTGGAGCCTCACAGATGAATAATTTTATTCAGTTCTTTTACTTCAAACACGCAAAGTCTGAATAGGTTTTTGACCTTTCTTTCTCTTTTAGGAAGCTCAGGATCTACCCCCAAGATCTTACGGAGGAACATGTGATCCGTATCTTATACTTCAATTATTTCGAGATAAAGGTAGAAAAAGATGGTCAAAATCCAGCTCTTCAATGCTTTACGAATTTCGAACCACTTCGAAGAAAAAGACGCAACACCCAATTTTTAAGGAAACGTTTATTATGGAAGTGAGCAAATCAGACCTTAGAGAAGATTCCTTGAAGATCTCTGTATTTGATGATGAAAAGTACGCCAATGATTCTGAACTTGGAGAAGTGACCATTCCTCTTCGAGAGCTACCTTTCAGTCGAAATGGTGAAGAAAATATTACTACACTGAATTTCTTGGAACCAAGAAAGGTAAATTACTTCAGTTTACAAAATGAGAAAAAGATTCTGAACTCAGCAATAATGATATAACATAAATTGTCTACGAAAACAGTAACTTTGACTTTTTTCTGTCCATTTCACGAATACTTAGCAATTATTCTTTCTCGCGTACTTATATAAATTAGCTTACAGATTAAAAACCAAATAATTGCACCTCACTTAGCATATAATTCCTTACACGAGTTCATTCCAGGTTCCTAGAAAATAATATATTACATTAGTTTTCACTTTCAAGAAATTAGTGGCGAAATTATGTTTCTCTTGGGAAAAAAGTTGTGAAAATATTATTGATGAAGAATGATTTAAATGCGATTCCTATGAAATCAGTACATCTTCTTGCGCTCAATATGCATTCGAATCATGCATATGGAAAATTTAATATAATAAATTAAATTATCCTTTACAGAATTTTTAAGTGTTTTAGACAGAATATTTTGTTACATTTAGGACTAAAGACATATAATATATTTTTAGACAGATTATTTTCTATATATTTCAGGTCATGAAAGATCTTTAATTTTACTCAGAATCATTTTCAACTTTCATAATTCTTTGTTCAATATAAAAATGTAAAGTTATGCATAGAGTAACTTCTAAGGGGATTTTCAGAAATGTCTCATTAAAAGATAGTGAATACTGAATATATATCATTCTTTCTTATTCTGATTCTCAGAGCTAAAATCAGACTGAAATCCTCTGCCGTTCGAAGTTTTACCTATTCAGCTGTAATGCTAATATTCACAGAAATAGGTAAGGCATGTTAATTAGAAATCTACTAGTTTATAAGGCAATAATAATATATCACGTAGGTTTCACGTCCACCGTAAATCATCAGATTACCTTTACTCCCACTACCTGCCAGATTTGAGAAAATTGCTGGAACTGCACCATAGTGGTTTATTTATTTTTATTAGCAAAATAATATAACCTCAATGAACATAAAACATAATATTAAGATACAAAACATTCATTAAATGCAACTGGGAAGAAAAAGAAAATAGGAATTCCACTGAATGCATTAATTGTTCCTTCAGATTTCATCAGAATAAAAGTGAATCTCAAGCACGCGCTTTTAGAAATGACTTCACAGAAATCCTCTGTTAAAGCTCTTAAACCATATTTTGTTAGTTTATTATAGATCGGAAGTTGAACTAAAACTATTTACGGACCCTATTACGTTCTTCTGCCTGATGTTGTACATTCCCATTCACATCAAAATGAAATAACAATTAGCTTTCCAGATTTCCTCAACATTCAAATATCTGTACATACGTCATTACAAATAGACCTATCAGCATTATATTGAGATAAATAATTAGAATTTTAAGCTTCCTTTTTTAACATTTTAATAGGAAAACGGAGATATTCTTTTTGGACTAAGCTACTTACCGACTGCTGAAAGACTGACTTTCAATTTGGTAAAAGCACACAACTTAAGAATAACAGCTGATAATATCGAAACATTCGGTAAGTAATTATACTGTTCTACATACCAAAAATGATCGGTGTCAAGTATTTGTGTTGCCTTGCATGATTAGAATTTTAAGTAGTGTTAACACGCCATACCATTAATGTGAAAGCGCTCAAAAAATCACGATAAGTTCCTTTTCTGATAGAAACCGATGTGCAGCTTTGAGAGTAAGTTAAACTTAATTTACTGTTCCAGAAAAAATTTCAAAATAGTGGTAGTTCCTCAAGAAATCTGCCATTGAAGGCAGCTAAAAGCAAATAACTTTCCGTGCTTGTCCATAACTGGTTGCCTGACGGTGGTTCCAGTCCTAAAAAATATAGTCAAAGTAATTGATCTTGGTAGATGTCGGCTAAAGTGTATAATTATAACCATTCCGTTAAAGACACTTTTAAGCTAAAAAAAATTCTTTTCATTTAAAATGTCCTGAAATGTAAACTATCAACTCAATCAGTATTGTCAACTGACAAGGGGAAAAAATATCACCTAGGAAAGGATCATATTACGAATAGAAGTAAAAATCCATATCAGCTGAATGGGGACACTAGGTTATAACTTTGCAAAATATAAGAAAGTGGGACAGTAAAGTGTAATGAAAATGTCTGGGATTTCAATGTTTGAGTATCCCTGAAAGTATTGAACCAAAGGTACTAATTATGCCGCCGAAGAATCAGGCAAATAATCACAGTCGAATACGTAAGCGTACACGTGCACGTCTGCGGAGCTGTGATTGTCCACGGGATATAAGCGCACGAGGTTTTCGGAGATTCGTATGCTCCATGACATTCCCCGTATTTCTCGCAAGAGCTGGGTAAATTTTATAAAGTACCAAGTAAAATGACTAGGCACAAACATACTGATGATGGAATTAGATGAAGAACTGCCGTTAGACTGGAGCCGCGTAAAGCACAAGTGCAGGATGCTACAGAGCTCAATGCAACGTCCAGTGTCGTCTGCAATTTGTGGAAACTGTTTCAGGACACAAGATCCATATCGAGAAGACCTGAACAAAATCAACCCAGATCCACAATGACGAATGAAGATCTCATCATATGTTGCCTTGGGCACTTCAGCGCGGTGACACAGGACTGCTGCAGCTTCACAGCTTTCTCCTGATCTGTGTGCTGCCACTGGAACCCGAGAACCATGGTCTACAGCTGCCCAAAAACTTCATAAAATAGAGCTGTGTGCCAGAAGCCTAGAAGACTACCTCTATAACTCCTACACTGAAGCTGAATAAACCAGACAACTAGTCTGACTCCTACAGACCCGATTAACTTGCTCCCCTGCCTAAGCAAATTAATGAAAGCAATCTTATGAAGAGTACGTGATCATCTTGTAATATCGAGAGGCCCCACCTTGTCAGCAACTGTGGTAGGGACTGCTACTACGTGTGAATATACACATACACGTAAGAAGGATTTATAGCCCTTTTTATTCAACTTTTAAAATAACAGCTGCGTCCACTTGACGCTCACAAATTACGCCAACCCAGCGGTTTAACTGAAACAGAATGTAGAAATGAAAAATAATGACTGGATGAATAAATACCGAGATCACTATCCACGAGGCTCTGAGATCTTAAACTAACCTAACCGCGTTCTAACATTACCGCTGAGATTCAGAGAGCTTACTGATTAAGCTGTTGAAAGATCCAGCAAAATCTGCCGAGATAGGCACACAGGCCGACACGCGCTGTTCTTATATTCTACCTAGCAACATTCACGTTCGCGATTCAAGAAGCACACCTACAATCTCGTTTCCCTTCTATTTAAACTCAACTTACTTCCTCTAAATTTGAATATACTGTGCGCTCTACTACAATTTACATACTCTAGCATTGGCAATTCTAGGGGAAAGTAAAGGCTTGACAGGAAAGATAACTTAAACTTAAAATAAGTATTAGTTAAAATGAATATAAACCTAAAATATCTGGACAAGAAAAGTTTGTATTCCTTTCCTGCAACTAAATGCAACTAAGGTGACTGGTCCCTGCTGAGAAACCCCCATATTAGGCAGAGGTCAACTCTATTTGACTTGTTCTTCTCAACTCTATTTGTCTGGAGATCCGAGCACCACTCCGAATCTTAGCTTCAGACTTAAAGCTACTCCAAAAACCTCCACCGACATGCGGGGCCCGAGGGGTCACCACTCCCTGTTCTCGGCATTTGATGAGGGCCGTGACCTGAAGCCTGAAGATATGACTGGTCGTCAAATTGCTCTCGCGAGTACCACACGAGCTGCCCGTCACATCCGGACATTACCTAGCAAACTTGGTGCCGTCCCACACCGAGCTACAGAACCATCATTTCTAGGTCTTACGCCAATCCCCCGAGGTCAGACCGTATAGATGATCCACCCCCAAGCTGTGGAGCCGCCAGCTTCATGAATTTTATGCCCCATGGCCGAAACTGCCTAGGTACAGATCATAGTCAGTAGCTTCACAGAATTTTCTGCGTCAACCCCCGGGATCATCAGAACAAGAACAATATTCTAATACCCCAGCAGTTTGGATTTCGAAGCAATCTATGTACTTCTTACGAACTGCACAGGGTGGTTGTTCATATTGCTGAAGAAGTTTACTTATGGACTATTTCTAGACATAGCCGACGCTTTCGATCGTGTTTGTTTGGACGCACTCATATACAAAATACACAAGCTGGGATTTTCAGCTTACATTATACACATAATTAAATCCTACCTAACAGGTACAGTTTGTCGTTCACTTCTCTGACACTTACTCAACTCGCTGAGCTATATATATATATATATTTTTTAACTGGTATCCCACAATGTCATTACTTGGCCCCACGCTTTTTAACAACATTTATGTGAACGATATTCCATGCACACTCAACACTACATTAGCAATGTACAGCGATCCTTGCTCAAAATGCATTTCTCAGTCGAGTAATTCAATACCTTCAAGACAACATTCATGCACTAGAAACCTGACTCAAAAAATGGGAGATACAAGTTAACCTGGATAAAAACATAGGTGTCATGTTCTCAAATTGAAAAACAAAATTGGTAAAAATTTTAAATTTTATGGAACCACTTTCAAAGCAAGTCACTTATCTTGGGGGTGATCTTCACAAATACTCTTACACGGTCCCCACATACGTGCTTTATTATTAGGAAAATTCAGCTGCGTAAAGCCAGGCTCTCCCCCTTATTTGTGATGATAAGTTTTTGTGATAATAAAAGAACCCCCCCTACGATCAGAACTTAAATTGGGCCGGAGCTCACCGGATCCCGGCTCCTGTGCTTCTTAGGTTTTGAAATAAATCATAATTCTAGCCGGAGCACACCAGAGCCTTAAATAAAAAGGCTGTAGCACTTTATTTACGTAACTGAATAACAATTTCAGTAGAAACTTTATCTCGAAAATTTTATTTTTAACAATAAAAATTATATTAAAAATCGCTTATTAAATTACTTATTCGCTTTACATTTAATTTTATTTTGATTATTTAATTACTTTAATCTTTAATTATTTCAATAAATAATAATTAATTATCTAATAATTATCAAACGAAAAATATAATTAATTAATTATTGATTAAATAACAATTAATAAACATGAATTAAATAGCTATTAATTAATTTAATAATAATTACTATTTAAGTTTAAAATTATTAATGAGTTTAATAGTCATTTTATTTGTTTATTTACTCTTGTTCCTCTTTGCTGACGGTCTTCCATAGCGCTCCGCCACTTCTAAATTTAGAAATTAAGCCCTGACTGTTATACTAATGATAATTTTAAGAAGAGGCCCATAGTCATACTAAAACCATCTGTAAAAATGGAAAAGTAATGTGTGCCTGTGTACACGTATATTCCTTTGTTTTATATTGTATCAGTTTTTCATTTATTATGTATTTTATGTAAATGTTCTGTTATTACAAACTGCTGGTCCTTCGCAGCTGCATTTGCTTTTATGTATTTAGTTATCAGCTCAGCAGCTTTCCCCTTTCATTTACATGTATTGGTTTGAGTTTACAAAGTCGCTTTTAAATTGATTACATTTTCAATTATTTATTTAAAAAAAAACTTCTTATCCCTTTTAAGTTATTTTTTGATAAAATTTCGAAATTTTAAAGTCTTGTTTGACATCTGATAGAACATTGTGCCCAGGCACCCACAAATTGAAGACCGTTACACAGAATGAGTAAAGTTCTCCGTTGAGAAAGATCTAAAGGGAGAGAGGACAGAATGTGACACTTAGCCACTGAAGATGTCATGACTAGAAAATGACTGAAAATGTTGTGTTGGCATCAGGAAATGCCAAGTAGGTCATCATTCAGGAAAACTGCTGGTTAAGTGTCAGTCTTAAACGTGAAAATCGTCGTATGGTTTGAAAAGAAAGGTAACATGACCTCGCTCCGCCAATCGGCACCATGAAAGTTGAAATACAGTACTTACAATTTGCTTTCGAAAACTTTCACCAAGTCCATAGCGCGCTCAAACCAAGTCCATAGCATAGCTTTCACCAAGTCCATAGCATAGTTTTTGCAACAGTGAACTGGCCTTAGAATACAGTTTCTAAAATTTTTTGCACAAATTATCAGACAGTCCTAAATCTGGGATGATCTCAAAACCGAAATTTTGGTCCATTTTCTTGTGTACTTGCTAGAAAAAGGAAGTCGGCATGAGCTGAATTTTCGGGAGTTGAAATGCTCGAAGTTTGGAGTAATCTCTTGAAATCTCTTATACGACAGAAGTCACAGTTTTCTCTTCTGTTGCTGGCGTGGAATGGGCATTTGGTCGAAATAAACAAATGATCGGATTTGCATCTAATGTAGGTGAATTTGGCATCTCTCGGGAAGTTGCAAGTGCAGGCAGTAAAGGCATATAGAATGTGAATGGAAATCACTCTATATGCGGTCAGGTCGTAAATTTAGAACCCTTTTTCCACGGGGGGGGGCTGAAAAGGAGGGGATAGTCTTGCTCGTGGTCTTGAGAAAATGTGGAGGTCGTTTAAACATCTAACTTCTTCTACATTCAGTTTTTATACAGAGGAAAATATAAATTGAATTCTTCGAAGGAATGCAATTTTGTACAATGAAAATGTATTAGTGAACTATAAACTGCAAGGCAAATAACATCTTTTTTTAAAGTAGGAGTAGAAAGACAGATATTCGTTACATCAAATGAATTTGTAGTAAATATTGAATTTTTCATTTCGAATTGCTATGTTACACGTATGCGAAGTAGCTGAGTATCTGAGAAAATAGTCTTAACTCAAATGGCTTTCAACCTTTTCACGTCTAAAAGGACTGTTTTTCAATTACATTGTGGTCGCTGCTTTTTGGTTAATTTTCTAATGGCATATAAACATTAAATTGTTTTTAATTTGAGACTTATGAATAAAATAACGTAAACTAGACTGCAGAAAAATCTTTAGAATGAAGTTAATACTGAAAAATACATTTATCCTATTATCCAATTTTATCTTACAACAAATCTTTTAAAAAGTGTGGAATTAGCAGTGCACTAGATGGAAATAAGGATGACATTGTGTTTTAGAAAAGTGGAAATCTAGTTATGACATCCTAGTGAAAATAACTATGATTTTAGCAACAGTGATGACGAATTTCTGGGATTCTAAGAAACGCTGATGTAGCTAATTTTTTAATGCAACAGTTCCGCTTTCGTCGTATAAAGTGTTATCATTAACATTGGTACTTAATTCCTTTTCTGTCTAAGTATTTTTCGCAAGTTTTAACCTCTGATAAACCACTGTGCGTCTTACAGGCTAGGAAATTGAGGTATAGTATAAATCGTCCTTCATTTCGTATCAGTGCCGACGATTTCGATGAAAAAAAGGTACCTTTTTAAAAACGGACTTCTTAACGAAGAAAAGCCGTTTTATGTACAGCATAATGTCTAAAAATACCGTCAAATTAAACAGTTACACATAACTAAGGGGGTTACACATAACTTGAATAAAGTCACCTCCGACCTACTGAGGGGGGCAGCATTGCGAAAAATTGTAGAGCAATATAAATAATTTTAGATTGGTGCCCAAAATTAAGAAAATAAACAAGATTTTTCGAATATCTAAAAAATACTGAACCGAGGCTGGATGATATATGATCAAATAATAATGCCGCTGCCGTTGAACAACTAAGTGCATTCGTAAATGTGGATAGTGCTGCGACAGCGGTAGGTATAAAAAGCGTTCGTTTATTGTTCTGCTTCTACTTCATTCATATGCACTGGCGAATATTATACTGTTTATTGTAAAATTTCTGTTTAATTTCATGAGCAACTGCTGTAGAATAAATAAACATTTATATACGAGAATGCGGTGAAGGGTCGTTGGTAGATTGGAGAGAGGGAAATCCCTATTTCACGGCTCAGTGTAAAGTGTAACTCCAAGTAATATCAGCAGTTTGTGGTGAAAGTTTCAGAAGACCGGATTCAAATTCAAGAAAGCCTAGTTTCAAGAGCCATGACACCCAACGAAGATCGATATTTGGCTCTGTCAGCCAAGCACAGAAAACTATCACTGGAACTATTTGCTATCACTGGAACCTCAGTTAAAATGGTTCCTGCTTTCCAAATGCTTCATGAGAGAGTTTTCTGTATCCGCTTTTACTCCTTTACATAACAGAACATGTCAGGCATGGTGACAGAGAACATCAGCACTGTACCTAACTTCCGTGGGCAAGTTATCTTCAATTGACAGCCTAGACATTGATTTTCGTTGGAACCCCATTTCTAGAGAGACATGGGACTCGATATTATTTTCCAGCATCTGGAAAAGGGACCACTATGATGGCGTGGGTGTCCTGGTTTAGGCAGTCATCATTCCTGAAACACATCAATGTGTTTGACAAAGGCTCCTTGATTTCCCACACTAGATCTTACGTGAACTGCGTTCCTTTTTATGACAACTCTCGTCTGAACGAATATCTTCAAAAAGAAGATACTGGAGGATGGATTGGTAGTAGTAGATCTTCAGATCTGAACTGAACTGAAAACAACTAAGACAAACTTGTTAATTCGTCAATCGCTTTCGAGAAACATCCAAGATCTAAAAGCTGCAGGAGTGGGTGCAGCTGCTATAGGATTCAACTGCTTGATGGCACATGTGTCTCTTAGAAGTGACCATACCCCCTCTTAGTTTCATTTTAGGTTCCATCTCGCATTCTCATGATCTCGAGTGCATACTTTCATTGTTGTATGTTCTTAATTTTTGTCTTGTATTACTCTGCATCCACACCAAATTTCATGGCATTCTGTCCAACACTTTTGACGAATTCGAAAAAACATACGTATTTACAGTACAAAGTCCGAAATCTGGACGTCCATTATCCGGAATGATCTAAAATCCGGACCTCAAAACCACCAACAACGTTTTTCTGGTAGGCTTTACACATGCGCATTTAATTCCCCCCTCCGCGCATAATAAAGCATCTAGAAACTCCCGATTGTTAATTTCACTTCGACGCTAAATTAAATACCTTGTTATTGAAGAAACAATCATTTTAGCATAAATTTGTACGATGAGTAATTTGGCTCCGTTGCTGCGTATCTCCTTGGCACCTATCTCAAACCGAAAGATTCTACTCATTATTTTTATTATACTTTCCTTTCATCACCACATTTATCAAAACATGACAACTTGAGTAATGACTCATGTAGCAAAGCCTAATTTTTTTTTTTTTTTTTAATGTTAGTAACTGAATAATAAAGGAGTATGATAACCTTTTATGTTGTTACGCTTGGCCATAATTACAGATTTAAGTTAAATGCGCTAAAAATGTTGACGAGGAAAAATTTACCAAAAATTTCTTTCCATATGTTAAAAATAGATTTTGTTGATGATACTCATAAACCCAAAGATTACATTTAGGGCTATTTGAATTAAGAATAACCGATTTGTTATTCACATAAACCCAGAACCAGCGCCAGGGCTCGTATGGCCGCGCCGAGTCGCGGAATTTAGGACCCACAGAGACCGAGGCACTAATCTAGCTTCAGCCCTCAATAAGTATATGTGGGAATTGATTTATTCAGAACTCTGATAAGCCTTAAGCATGTACAAGAAATAAACATAAGTATAATAAATAACTAATACAATTCAGGCTTAACTGTCTCAGTGCGCGATAGAAGCGAGATAAAATTTAACGGAACAACTTGTCGTTAGTTGCCAAGCTCATGATGCATAGCCAAATATGTATAGTGAAGGAAGCTAAATTTGATGATGATAGCCGCTAATTTTAAAGGTTTTTCGGATATCGCAAAACAAAGGTGAAATTTTCCAATTAATGGATTTTGTAAAGAAATTTGGCGAAGTGGTACTAAATAAAGATGATATAAAGAAGTTTTTCATTGTGATGACAATGCTTCTCAATCATCAATCAATTAATGAATGGCAAAATCTATAGTATGGTTCTAGATCCAGAAAATACCGCTACCGATAATAAAGAACGTGACAGAGAAGTTGCTGAAAACGAGAAAATTTCGATTGACAAGTTAGTCGGAATTCTCGAAATAGCAGTTACAGGACTTCAACAATGTAACTAAAGAAAAGATTGTCTGTCTACAGAATTAAAGAAAAAGTATTAAGCCCTCTTTTTTTTTTTTTTTTTTTTTTTTTTTTTTTTGTAAATTTTGATATCCTTTAGATCATAAATACTTCATTATTTCATAAATTGTGATTTCATATTCTTCATTTTATAATTTCTATATGCCATCTTACTAGATTTAAACTGATGATCTAATATCCGGAAAAACCCAAATCCGGAATCGCCGAAGTCCCGACGAGTCTGGATTTTGGACTTTACACTGTATTCCCTTAATTTCAACCACAAACATGTATAGTATATAAAACAAATTTTAAAGCATACACCTTAAACGTGTTGATATACGATGGTCATTATAAATAATAATTTAGGCATTTTGTATTGTATCAAAGGGCTTGATGGAATTGCTACATAATTTTAGACGCAAGATTTATGTAAGAAACGTGCACATTGAAAAAGTTGTAAATTTAGTTTAAATAAAAGTTGTAAATTGCTTAAAGATGCAGTTTTATAATATTTATCTAGGGCCTAAAAGGATACATTAATCAAGAAACAGGATTCTAGGACGGTAGATTTTAATATTTTATGTTTCAGATGGATAGCACAATGTTTTATTCATTAAAAACAAAGATTTCATAGTCGTAATGAAAATCGCATTCTCTTGCATAGGTTCTACGAGCAAGTTCTGTTTCGATGACGCTGATATTTTCGTACTTTTGCGATTTACAGGAATAAAATGCAAAATAAAAACAAGTGTTATGGCAGAAGTACATTTAACAAGACATTACATGAAATGCGAAATTTCTTGCAATTTTTTTAACCCTTTATGATATTGTTAAATTTTGTAAAAAAAAAAAAAAAAAAAAAAAAAAAATCATCATCAATACATTGCACTTTTTACTCGAAGTGTTGTCAGAGATGTATGTGGGTCTTTCTGGTTGGGAAATTTCATAATAATGAAATATGTTTCCATTTTTTAGCACCATTCATACGTGTTCTACTGATGCAAAATGGCAAACTACTGAAAAAGAAGAAAACAACGTCAAGACACAGTACAACCAACCCAGTATTTAATGAATCACTAACTTTCGATGTACCACCAGCTCAGCTTGACCACGTGATTTTCCTCATTGTGGCTAGCCACCGTGACCCCCAAGATGAATCGCTTTCTTCGCCAGACAGTCCAACATCACCACCCAATAGCTCCGGGGCAAGGAAAAGTCGCCATATCGGAAAAGTCGTAATTGGTTCTTCTGTGAAAGGATTGGCTCTGAATCACTGGAAGGCAATGAAACAGTCTCCAAGGAAACAAGTAACGCAGTGGCATACATTTAGGTGAAGAATTTAAAACAACAGTGACTAAAATAACCTGAAGGGGGTAATGCCAATTTAAATATTATGGGGGGGAGACCCTTAAGTTATTTTTTAAAAAAACTTTTGGTTAAGCATACAGTGGAAAGAAAATTATTATTACGCACATCGCACAAATAAGAGCAGTTTGCGATAAATGGAGCACAAATAATTAAATTATAAAAACTGAAATTGTACCGAATTCGAAACTCAAACAAATTTTTAATAAAAACATGATTCCTCTGAAAACAAACATTCATTGTAAAAACGAGATTAAATATTGCTTAATAATTTACTTGCATCGCTGCTATCTACAAGCCTTAACAGTTATTTAAAGCTTTAAAACATGTTTTGTTGAAATGAATCTTATGCTAGTGACTAAAATTAAAATACTTAACAGGCAATGCTTTATTATAAAAGCTAACATGTTTAGCCATAATCACCACATCTGCTGTTCTGAAATTTCTAATCAGTAATATTCGTATCAGTGTTTTAGCACTTGAACACATATACAATAAATGTAAGTTTTAGCTACCCATAGAAATGTATGAATCTGTGTCAAATAAAAAATGGCAGCTATAGGTTATTCCTCTTCAATAACCTTTCAAAGATTTTAACAAAATGTACTTTGTGTTCTAAACCAATGAAACTGATGAGTTTCATATTGCATTAGAAATCCTGAGTCGAATTTATCTTTATATATTTGCCTATAAAATATTAAATTATTTAAAAGTATTTTCTACAGAACTCTGGGCTTTATTTGCATAGTTTCTTCCATTTAAAATTATGACCAGTTTGGAATTAGATGCACAGAGCTACGGCGGCCACTTTTAACAAAGAAATGTGTAGCAGCCATTTTGAAAGTCCTAAAATAAAATATTTAAAGAAAGGTCATAACATATTAGAAAATACAATCTTTTCTTTGTTTAAAAAATACAGATCGTGAAAAATGATACCTATTTTAAACGAAATGACTTTTTTTAAAAAAATTGCTTTTTTACGCTCCTTTTGGGTGCTTAGAAGCAAGTAAATGCTTCTAACTTACTTGCTTCTAAGCACCTACAGCTGCCTACTGAATATGAATTTATCGAAATAACTAATATGAGATAAAACAATATATACTTAGAAAATTAAGCAGCGATTAGAATGCAATCAATAAATTGTTTGATTTATACAGTTTACCGTAAGTAAATGCAAGATTTGTCAACCTTAACTGACTTCTATTGCAACCACTGATCTGTATTACTCACTTTGTACAGTCAAAAGTCGTTAATTCGGACACTCATAATTCGGAATGATCTATAATCCGGACCTCAAAACTAAAAACTTTCTGCACATGCGCCGCGTTGACACATGCGTATAGGCGTTTGCACGTGCGCGTAAGACCTTTTACGAATGCGCATATGAGTGTGCGCAAGTGCAGAATACGTTTTCGCGTGCGCGTTTTATGTATAATGGACGTATAAGCTAAAATTATCTAATTATCTATTTCAGTTAATGTTGATGATTGCGTTGTTCCTTAATTTTCGAATTGGATCCGGCTTATTATTTTTTGCAGACTGTAAGAGCAATTTTATAAAAGTAAGCTTAAACTTTCGATTATATCAAATAGAATTTCCGATATATATTTGTTAATATGTAAAGGATCTAAAGCGAAAGTATGTTTTGAAATCCGAAATCTGTTTATCAATTTCATGCTGCTCGGCGGGGGGGAGGGGGAACGCCGCGACGTAATGAATTGGAAGTTGATCTGTCAACACTATCCTTATCTTCAGCGCAGATGTTTTTATTTTATTTGGCTTATAATTTCTTTACCAAATGTAGTATTTCATCTCGATATGCTCCGTTTTTGATATGATTTAAAACAAGTTCCTCGTCATTATAATTCGCTTCCGATAGCGAAGAAAAGTGACAGAGGTTATTGAAAACGAAAAAATTTCGATTGACAAATTAGTCGGTGTTCTCGACACAGCAATTATAGGACTTGAAAAACGGAACTTTGTAACTGAACAAGAAATTATGTCTGTTTAATAGAATTAAAGAGAAAGTATTATCACATGAAACGAAGCAAAACTTAAACAACTTACATTGAAAGAAATGTTTAATAAAGTAAACAAATAAATATTAAGCTTTTTCTTTTTGCAAATTTTGATACCCTTTAGATCATAATTGTTCTTTATTTCAGAAATTACGGTTTCATATTTTTAATTTGAGAATTTCTGCATGCCATCTTACGAGATTTAAACTGATTATCTATAATTCGGAAAAATCGATAATCCGGAATCGCCGAAGTCCCGGCGAGTCCGGATTAACAACTTTTGACTGTATTACTATTGAAATTATTTATTAATAATCCAAATATTAACAGTGCTGTTAATGAAAGTGTTTCAGTAACTACACAAATATTACAAACTCTTGACTTCTGAAATCAAAGTCTATAAATATGTCAGTCAGTATGTTTTCCCTCCAAGAGATTAAACAGTCATTTCTAATAAGATTAATATGCTTAACACTAATGTGTTTAACATATTTTCATACACATATCTGTAACACAGGAACTATTCTACAGAAATAACACAAGCTATATCATAAACTAGTCATGAGTGTTTTTTACTTACCTTTATTTTTAAAGGAAGCATGCTGGTAATTTTTATATACCTAAAATAGTTTTATTTTGGTCATGAAAGTTTCTTTCTCAGGTGCATTTCTACTTCTAAAAAATTCATGGTATTTGGGGAAATATAAACAAATAAGCTCCAAAATATGTATTCTAAGACTACTTGGAAAATTCGGATAACTATATGATAAAAATATTTTCCATAAAAATATTGTGAGATTCTACTTCATTAACAGATTTTGTAATAAAAATATCTATTTGGTTAAGGATTTATACTTGTTTTATAATGTTTCGCTTTGCATTCTTGAAGACAGGATATGTAATCTTCCTGAATGTTTGATGTCTGTGCTGTATGTATCAAATGTTACATTAAATCCTAACAAATGTATGTAATAGTATTAAGTAAATATATAGTGACTATTATACTCAAATATTATTTAGAGAACAGTTCTTAATAACAGTATGATATAAATAAATAGCGTGTGAAAAAATGCCAAGAAAATTTAACATGTTTCAGCATGAAAACTTACACAAAATATTTTCTTAATCCAAATTTCACTCAAAATGATATTGATATATTTTACTATGCTTTTCCTACTGAAAAGAAGTTAGGTCAAAGTTTTAAAATGACTTAACGTTTTGATGTTCTTTGTGTAAATCTTTTTCTGAAATTATAAAATAAAAAAATTTTTTAATTCACAATAATTAAAGATATTCAAATACTTTGTAAATACCTCCAAACAATAAATAATTGGCTATAACAGAAAAATAATAATAGAAAGTGTCATTCATAATATAAAATTTCAATTGTATCAGTACTCAATTGTTAAATGTAGTCTATTATGTAGTGAGTAATCAGCTGTGTCGTAATTATATGTGTTAATTTCATCATTGTACGATTTTTGTTCAAAATGGTCGCCAAAAATTTTACTGTGATTTTGTATATATTGATATTTGTTTCAGTGTTTAAATATGAAACATAAAAACAAAATATTCCATTCAATTTATGTGCAGAAAATAACTAAATGTTATACTGAGATATGTTGTTGTATATGTATCTATTTATGTAATTCTGAAAACGTGTTTGATAAACAGTATACATAAATGTGTTTATTAAATTCATATATAATAACAGTAATACACATAAAATTATAGCAACTTTTAGATCAATTCATTATATCTTTGAAAATGGTGCAAATGTAACTTACATGACACAAAAAATTATAAAATAATGAAGGACAGAGAAATCACATCATATCACAAATATTGTTAAGGCACATATTTTTAGGCTGCATTTTAGCATAAATTATATGTGCATTAGGCTAAAGAATTTCAATGAAAATGAATTAAAAGATAATTTACATTGGCATTTCATTAAAAATTTAATTATATAATGTGTCTTTAGCCCAATAGTATGAAAAATATAACAATGTAATTTTTATTTCTAGTCTAAACATTAATACTTTAAATGACGTTTTTAATGATAAATGAACCATATGCAAATTTAATGATAAACATAAAGGTGGATGAAGCAATCCAGATGATATGTAATATAGAATTAGTTATGTGATGATTTTTATCACTGGATATTTGCATTGCACAATGTTAATTCATAAATACTGACTACACTGAAAAATGACATAAAATATTTAGATACATGTTCAGATACATAGAAGAGTTTGACTTAGGCAACTGACTACATTACCTAGGCCATTGGCTTAGGCCTACATTAATATATTTGAAAATTAAAGTTTACACAAAATTATGCAGATTGTGTTATGATTATAGTTTACACACTATTATGGAGGAAAAGATTATTCATACTAGCAGAGAAAGAAACCTGAAGTTTAGGAAGTTTAAAGGTATTGACTGTAAAATAACAATAAATTTAATAAAGCTTTAAAAAATTACATTAAAACTACATAATTATTTTTAATTTCAATAAATGCATTAATTTATAAACTTCCAAATAAATATTTTACACAAATAAGAAGATAAATTGATTTTTAATAAACTTTAACAACATTAATATATTTGAAAATTAAAGTTTACACAAAATTATGCAGATTGTGTTATGATTATAGTTTTTGTGTTATGATTATAGTTTACACACTATTATGGAGGAAAAGATTATTCATACTAGCAGAGAAAGAAACCTGAAGTTTAGGAAGTTTAAAGGTATTGACTGTAAAATAACAATAAATTTAATAAAGCTTTAAAAAATTACATTAAAACTACATAATTATTTTTAATTTCAATAAATGCATTAATTTATAAACTTCCAAATAAATATTTTACACAAATAAGAAGAAATTGATTTTTTAATAAACTTTAACAAAATTTCCAAATTATGCTCCTTATAATTATTTTAAATTTCAATAAATGCATTAATTTATAAACTTCCAAATAAATATTTTACATAAATAAGAAGCTAAACTGATTTTTAATAAGCATTAACATAATTTTCAAATAATTGTTTGGGCATGAAAACAAGTTATAGCCTTTATAAATAAGTTACAAAATGTATTAAGATTCAGAAAAGGAGTTTACATTCAATCAAGTAAAAATTTTGCACGGTGTACATAGATTTATAATAGCAAGAATGCATTCATGAGGAGATTGGCACTTCACATTCCTCTGAACATCATACACTAAAACAATTTCAAAATAATGGTTAATGAAACTTACATAACAAAAATGGCAAATCAGTTGAGCCCAAATACTTTAAATGGTAGCAGATATAAATTAATGACAGCAAGAATATATTCATCTGGAGACTGCCATTTCATAATCTTGTTAATACCATATATATGAAAAAACAGCAAAACAATAGAAATAACAACAGATAGTATCACTTCTTCTTCTGTAGTGCCCAAAAATGCCTTTAAAAAATATAATATATATATATATATATATACACAAACATACACATTTTTTGAAAAATTTAAACATATATTTTAACAATGAGCTCTCATAATATTAATTACCAAAGATACAAAACATATACAAGTTTTACACTTAATTTTTTTCCACAGATATTAAAACACTAAATAGATGAGACTGTATGAAAATAATTGTATAACTCCTTTTAGCAACATTCAACATAATTTTCATAATTTTGAACATAATTTTCAATGGATTTTTAAAAATCTGCCATTTGATATTAATAAGACTAATACGAGAAAGTATTCTGTGTATTAATGTTAATGCTTTAATTTTGTTACCCATGTCATCACTACCAATATCTTTCAAATCATATTCTTTCTTAAAATAATTTTATTACAAAAAACTTTTAACTCAGTTAACAATTAGGAATATTGGCAATGCTGAAAATTTTTTCAATAGTTAACAAAATGTGCAAATTCCTTTCCTTTCATAATTACCTTAAATTTAGCAATTTAAAAGAAGCTCTCACAACAAATGCTGCATCACTTAAAATGAAATTATTACTAAAATATGATCATTTGCAAAATTAAGGTTTGGTAATTATTAATTTCAATTAAATATGTCATACTGGAATAGGGCTTTAAATGCATAATACCCTCAACAAGACTATTTCCCAACAATAGTACAACTTTTACATCATTTGCATACCCATGTGGATAATAATTTTTCATGCATGCAATCTATTGTATTAGAGTATTTATCAGATGAAACATTTAGTTTGCAGGACGCTATTTTCCACAAGTCATTATAGAAATAATTTTGAGGTATTCTTAAGCTCATTTTAAAACTGTGAAACATCAGAAAAAAATTCACAGGACTTTGGAAATATTTGGTATTTACTAATGTATTAGTTATAAAAAATACTTATGCACAAGGTCTACATAAAGTCTCACAGTTTTTCCATTTCAATTCAGTATGAATCAATCCAGTCTTCCATTACAGAAGGTTTTTGGTTTCAGTTTAGCTGATTACGGCAAAGCAAACAAAGGCTATCTGTCTAAGGGGAGGGATGCCTTTGTGGAGGTCTTTCTAAGGGAAACTGGGTTGCATGCATGTTATAAATGGGGGGAAACTGAAAACGCCCATGCAGCCAGCCCATTCACCTGGAATCGAGCCCAAGTCGGAACTACAAGTGTTCAGCAATTTTACCACTCAGCAACTGCTGGGCCACATTGCAGACAGAAGACTTGGCTATTGTTCACCTTCTTTACATCTAGCTTTGAGTTTCAGAAGGCATACAGGATCCAGTTTGTCTAAAGCCTTTACTGGCTTCTGATGGATTTTCACGGAACAGATCTATTACTCTGTTCAAATCAGCATAGTAGTAATGTAATGGTTTAGCTGTGGCCTGGAGCTTTTCCTTCACTTTCAAAACACCTTCTGGTTGCAAAAGGTATTTTCCGTCTAATCTGCTCTTCCATCCTAGAAGAAATTTTCCTTATGGGGTTTTCTTGTGGTTTTATTCTAAAACAGCAGACATTTATTGAGTCATAAGTTCATGGTGTTCTAACAGTTTCTCCATATTCTCCTTATGCAGGTCCTATGCTGTGGAAACAACCTCCTTCATTACACTATCATTCATCTTGAAAATAAATTATACAGAGATTCCCCTATGCAGGGTTGAAAGTAAAAAAAAAAGTCAAAGTAAAGTCTCTGAGTAATTTCAGATAACTTCTGGTCACATTGATGAATTTCTTTAACATAAAATTTGTCTTTTCAGATTTTCTAACTGTAAGGTCATATCAAAACTGGCCAACTGGAAAATCTCAAATCTTCACTTGCATAAGCTGCAGAAAGAATAGTTAATCTTAAGGGGCTTGTGCCTTGAAAAACCTTTTTCTACCCTTAAATTGAAGATTTTTATAATGTGTTGTTTTCCAGAAAAGCCTCATTTCCTAACAATGGAAAATTTGTTGCAGTTGACATCCTCTGAAACTTTAGGAAAAAGTTTACAGCTTCTTCCTTGTCAGCATTGCTAGTCTAGCTATACATTGTAAGTAAGACTTCTCTCCTTAAACCTAAAAGCAACTCCTTTATTGGCTTTGAACACTTCTCCCTCATGTTCAAAAGCCTAAGTTTTTCCTGAGTAGCTATTTCAGCTCTTCACAGATGACAAATTAATTCATATGCGGTTGGATCTCACGTCACTTGCCTTCCATTAGTCTAAAGTAATAGCAATCTTGCCATTCATCACTAATTTTCGCTACACTGATGGGAAAAACCCCAGATACGCTTGTCAACCACAGCTTTTATAATATATTCTCTTAAACTGTTAAAACACATTCACCTGCAAGATCCATAACTCTAGCTATAAGTTTTATCTTAATTTCTGGGTACACTTAAGTAGAAAATTACTTTTGATGCTTTCTAGTAACTGTCTTAGGCCACATTTTAATAACAGCAGCATTAGTACTGAACTTTCAAATTTCAAACAGAACACAAATTTTTAATGTAAATATTTACTGGTTACTAAGCTACTGGAAGTTTATTCCAGTTGCTAGCTTTTTGAGTGTGGAAATAATACTATGCATCAAATTGGTTTTGTTTACCTGTTGTTTTGGGTCCTGTGATGCATTTGATCTAATTTCATATGGAGAAGTAGTAGTGTCTATGGGTTTTGAAATGATTTAAATTTTCTCTTGGCTATGACTAAATCTATTACTATGGACAGAGATGAATACCGTCTACAATCTGAAAAGTCATGCATTGCCTAGAGTTGAACATGTCAACTGTGCATTTCTAAACCAATGTTTAAATTGTCAGACTACAGTATATATATATATATATGATCGGAGAGTAAGTTGGTAAGTTGGTTAACCCTTTGCGACACGCATATTTAAAATATATTTTAATCTTTAAAAAAATGCCTTAGAATAAGTCAGATGGACTTACTTAAGTGCCTTTAAGGCTTGAAAAAAATTCTGCGCTTTTATTTTTTACGTGGCAAGGTGGGATACCATTTGTCCCACCATGCAACTAGCACATGTCTTATAACATATTGGTGTATAGCAGGAAAAAAAATATCATATATGGAATGAATAAACAAAATAAAGCGTGCTTTCTAAAATATTCATAATAAACACACTAAAATGCATTTTGTACTTATTGCATATATGCATGACTTGTAAAATTTTGCTTATGCACATTTTGCATACATATATTTAATATTTTTAAATTTTAGGAACAAAAGAAAATATTTTCTTGAATATTATTTTAAGATTAAAGTTTGATACTTGTACATATGATACTAAATAAAATATTAAAATTGGCACTTGATTCAAAAACATTTATATATGATTAAAATTGAAAAAAAAAAGTCATTTTTCATGAAACTTTGAAAAACATGTTGTTTCATTCTTTTGTAAGCATGGAGGCACTTCACGTTTCACACATCCAAAATGTTCGTCGTTCTTCTTTCAATGTGCTGCAATATGCACATCTTCTCCTGCTCGTTATCTTTGGCATGGTAATTACATTTTTTAGTCTCTTTTCTGGTTGTACGAACGGGTTTTTAGTTTTTATTTGAACTGGGGATTTCAGTTTTCTTTTCAGCTCTTTCTTGCCTGCAAGTGCCATTAGACCTTCTATAAATGAGAGAAGAAAATCTTACATTGTTTTTACATCATGATCGTGTTCGCGAACAAACTTTACTATACTCGCATATAAAAAATAAAAAAATAAATAATAATAAAAAAAAAAATCGTGTGCCACCATTTCTTGCTTTTGCGGTCTATTTCATATAGTACTTTCAGTTGATCAATCAGTCGACATATCCCATATTCTTATTGTATGAAATAATGCTGTTTGGGCACAGTACTTTTTTTGTCTTTCCATCTCGTTCTTTTCTATTAATTTCTTTCATTTCAGTTGCCTTTTACAAGCAAGACAGGATAGAAACAGATCTTTTATCCTTCTATTTTATGCAATAAATTGAATCATCGCTAACTGAAAAGTCTATATATTCTCTTGACATACATTTGTCTTTTAAATTTTTGGGTAGATACTTCCGATTCATATTTACAGTGCCACGTAGATGGCAGCCACATGCATAGATGGGTCTGTGTCTTTAAAAAGCGAAACAAATTATAACTACTTCCCTTTCTTCTTCAGCAATAAATTCAACTTATTCTCTCCTGGATTTCAATTTCATCTGAATCAGAACTTACATCTGAAGCATATGAGTCACAATCAGATGGCAGTTCAGCAAAAAGATCCAAAGCTTCCTGAGTTGTTAATTTTTATCTAGACTTTTTAGCACATCAGAGCATACAACGGATGTAAAAACGCGCGCAATCACGAAAAATGTAGATGGAAAAAAGAAAAGAAAAATAATCGTGAGTGCTGCCATCTATTGAGCGAAAATTCAAGTGTGTGGTGGGACAAATTTTAACCCACTTATTTCAACTGCAAAATTAATGTTATAAAATATTGAATCCAATTAAGATTTTTGAAAATAAAATACCTTTGAATATTAAAAAGAATCATACATATCATAAATTGTATACCAAAAATTTTAAAATATTGAAAAATGCGAAATACATGGATATCACTCTTGTGATCCTATTTTGAATATTTTTTGCTTATAAACTTAAGCCCTAGTATAGTAGTAACATCTACTGAGAAAAATAATAACTAAAATAGATTATTTTTAAAAGATTAGAAAATATCTAACGGAAACTGCTAACTGAGAAAATAAATATTAATTAGGTGGGACATATATTGACCCACCATGCCGCAAAGGGTTAACAAATCATTGGTTTAACATGCTATAATGCTTTATACTTCCCACAATAATAAGAAATATTACATTACATTCTTCATGCTTTGCTTGTTACCTTTGTTTATGAAGGCTCATTTTCTGCATTAACACAACGCCTATAAATGTTAGCTCTAAATTCAATGCCTTAATACTGGTTGACAATATTCATTTGTGGTACATATCAGTTTTAACATGTAGAATTTACTGAAACAGTGGAAGATTCAACCTCAAAATTATACTGATAGGGAACATCAGAGGCAATTTGACATGGATTTCTGCTCTTCAAAGAAGAAAAACTTATGAAAGGTGGACTCTTAAAAGAAATGCAATAAGTCTCTTATTACAATCAATATCAATCTCAGTCAATGTCAATCAATTTTGCTTAATATTACAACTTAAATTAGCATTCTTAATTACATAAATTCAGAGACTTTAAGAAAGTGTTTTCAAACAGAATAACTTTACAAGCAAAAATTATTACCTGAAGTGATCCAGCAGCTGGAAATATCAAGATTAAGCAAATGATGCTGTAAAATAAAAAAAATAATAATAATTCTTTCAAATCATCAGACCGAACCAAAAACTGCAAAAAAATTTCATACTGACAAAACAAATTTTCACATTAAACCTACATCCTCTTTTACATGTGTTCAAAAATCATTACCTGGATTTAAAGTTTACAGCCGTTGGTCAGAGACATATGCTTCCAGTTACAGAAACATTTTAAATGAGGCAAACATTCATGTTTGGACATTTTAAAATTGAAAAAAAAAATCAATTTTGTAAAAATTACAAAATCTAACCCTTTATATGTCTTCCTGATAACCATACTTTTATTCAGGAAAATATCATACTTGTTATAAAAAGTAAAATACAAAGAGTGACTTCTGTATAATATCTGTATGTACCTTCAAGATAAGTAATTTCAAACTTTATGTTTTACAAGTCATTTCCAATCTGCGTTGAGGGGAAGATTAATAAATGAATTAGATTAAACGGAGTTTGAGATTTTCCCTTTAAATACCATTCACTGACGTTCTTTTGTGATTTACTAAAGGACTATTGTGATTTTTGTAATTTATAATTTTATTACACACGATATGATGAAATACTCACACAAGAAATCTATCAAGTTTTCAATGCTAAAAATAAAATATTTAGTATTCGCATGAAGTTTTATAACTTAACAGTCATAATCTAATAATAATCCCTCCAAATCATTAAAACTAGAATTATTTTTAGCTTTAATTAATGCAATTAATGTTACTACCATAATTTTCAGAAGAAACACCGATGTGTTTACATGATCCAAATTTTAACTTTCAGCAGGTGTGGTGTTTCTCCTGATACAGTGTTTACATGCACTGTATCAGGAGAAACACCACACACACATAAATATTCTGTAAGATGTCATTGTAAATACCTTGGATCATCTTAGTTCTGCCCCCCCCCTCCACAGAAGACCACACAGTTGCTTTCTGCAAACTTTGTTGTGTTTATATTCTTTCCTTTGAATGGACCTATGTGCTTTATTCACACTAAACGAGATCTCGGAAAATTACATTCTTCCCTTGTTCAAATCAGCATTCACATTAGTTCAAATAACCTCTGTTCCCCGTCCCTTGCAGAGCGGCAGCTGGGGTTTTCAGTGCCCAAGGAGACTGAAGATTTTGCCCAAAAATGAAAGATTTCAATCTAAAATTTTGTAAACATCAGTTTTGTGCCCCCTAGATGCTGCCTCCAAGGACATATGTTCCTCTTCCCTCCTAGCTATGACACTGGTCCTTTGATGAATCTTCCGGGACCCATCATCTCTCTTCCCTTCTCCTTCTATTGTAACTCTGCTGTAGTTCTTTCCAAACATGGACACGATTCTGAGTTACAGTAATGAACACCAATGTATTTCTTTTTTTCTCCCCCTTCAGCACGAATCGATTGCTCTTGCCTTTCTGCCAGCTACAAATCTGTCACACACAATAAGCACTTGTTGGACAGTTTTTAACTAGAAAGGAAGCAGAATTTTTTTTTAAATGGCAGCCTAAATGGCCTAAAAGTTATACTGCTATGTTTAAGTTTAGAATAATTTCCTGTGTTGAACAACTGAAAATAGAGCAGCAGTTCAAGAAATTGAAGTGGATGTGCAATGCATTTGATACTGAAGAACTAAAAAAGAACTTGGAAAATATACCACAACAGAAACAAAACAAAAGAAGTACTATTTGATGGTCAGAGTCTGTTCAAGTCAAGAAGTGGTACTATTTGATGGACAACCTTACAAAGTGGATAAAGGAACAATGAGGAAACAGAATGGCAATTTTGACTATAAAAAATACTTACAAGCAAAAATTATGGTGCAACAAATGATAATAAATTGCTTCAAAGTAAGGGCCTTGCTGGTGTAGCAGATTTATAAAGAGAAAAAAAAATTCTGCATGTACCAGACAACAGTTACCAATAGACTGGGAGGATAAAAAAGGCATCATTTCTACAATATGTGAGAGATATTATTGATGAGAAAAAATTCTTCTATCACACATAATAAATATGGATGACACACCATTAGCTTTTAAATCTCCTGCAAACAGAACTGTTGATGAAGCTGGTGTAACATCTGTATCCGTGCTAACGACGGGGCATTAATGAACTTCATGTGAGCTTAGCTTGTGCTGCAAACAGTGGCAAGCTAAAGCTGGTAATCAGTTTGTAAAAGTAATATTTATTTCCCTATTCCAAAGGGATATTTCCAAAATAACATAATTATTTGTGCAAACGAGAATGGATGAATGCTCAAAACAATCATGCATGAGTGGCTACAAATAGTTTGGCTGCATCATAAGGGATCTTTTTTTTCAACAGAAAGTGAGTGAGTGGGGTTTTTGGTGCAAAACCAAAGATAATTATGACGCGCCAAACACAAGGTGAGATGATTAAAATTTATGAAATTAAAATACAATAAATAAAAACAAGTGGACAAATGTAACAAATCCAGAGGATGCAGTCATATAAAAACAAGTTAAAAGCACACATTAAAATTCAAGACACAATCTTCAAAACAAATTACATTAAGTAATAAAAGCCAGTCTCTTTTAAATAATAAAATAAATTACAATTGACCTCTCTTCCGATTAAAACGGTCGAGAGGTAAGGTAAGTCACAGCTATTAAAATATTTCTGACGAAGATTGTTAAAACAGGGGACACTCAATTAAAATATGACGGACGACAGATAAACAAACATTACAATTTAAACAAACAGGCTCATTTCAGCTTTTAAAAGGTAGTTATGTGTCACTCTAGTGTGACCAATTCTGAGGCGAGTCAAAAGAACTTCCTCCTTACGATTTCCAGCAAAATCCCAATGCTCAATTCTAGGTTTACATTTCTCAACTTGTTGTGAGCTGAACATCCCAAATTTGCTGCCATTTTTTTTTTTTGGATTTCCCCTTGATGACACAGCAGATGTCTCTAAAAGGGATAAGGCGACTGGACAGTTCAACAGCAGATTTGCCGTGATGTCTGCAAGCTCGTTTCCCTTTATTCCCGTATGCCCGGGAACCCAGCAGTACAGGATTTCATATCCTCGTATCTTTAAGTTTATATGAATTTTCAGAACATCCACTACCACAGGATTTTGAGTGTTGGGAAAAGCTTCCAAGTTTTAAGAGCACTATACGAGTCTGTATAAACTATGAACTTTTTGTGGCAGAGCTTTGAGATGTACAAAAGACCATAATATATTGCAGTTAGTTCAGATGTTAGAACTGAGAAAGCATGGTGCAGGCATCTGCCCTCTATGTAATCTTCAAATACAAATGCCATCCCAACATGATCATTTGACTTTGATCCATCTGTGTATATCGGATAATAACTGCTATATTTGTGCCTGTGCTCAGCGAAAGAGTTGTCTGTAAACGATCTCGTTAGTGCTTGCCTTCACGTGATGTTTGAAAACATCAAGAAGCTGAATCCGTGAATTTTCCCAAGGTGGAATTTCAAAATTCTGTACTGCTTGGGGGTGCATATCAGAGAGGGAAAGTTCCTCAATGACAGGGCGAACTCTTAAAGGAAAAGTAGGAACACAGGATGGACGTGTTTCAAATAATGTGTTACACTCATTATCAAGTAAGCACAGCTTATTGGGATGTTCAGGTTGGGATAGAATATTAAAATATTGCAAAAGGGACAATTGCTCACGCCTCAGATAAAGTGATGGTTCGTTAGAGTCAACATATAGGCTCTGTACAGGAGAAGTCTGAAAGCTGAAGCTAGATCTGCTAAGGGAGCCTCGTGGAAAAGGGAAACTCTCGCATCCGAAAGATGATGATGAACATACCAGATCCAAAGCTTGAACAAATTAACTTGATGGTGAACAGGATCCAGTTTTAACAAAACAGATGACCGAGCGGATCCATAAACAACTGAGCCATAGTCCAGTCTAGAGCGGATAAGCGCTCTGTAAATGCGAAGCATGGAGCAACGCTCTGCACCCCAGGAGGTGTTCGCCAACACTTTTAAAATATTTAGTGTTTTTTGACACTTCTTTCTCAGGTTTAAAACATGAGAAAGGAAAGTCAATTTTCGGTCGAACGTCACTCCTAAAAATTTTACTTCAGGCGCAACTGGAATAATTGTACCATTCAGATATAACTCAGGTTCAGGATGGAGACGTCGCTTCCTACAAAAGTGCACGCACACAGTCACAGTTTTCTGTTTCGAAAATGTAAATCCCTGTTTGTCTGACCATTCTTGGATCTTATTCAGAGCCATCTGCAGTTGCCTCTCTACATATCTCATGTCTGCCCCTCGACAGCTAATCTGTAGATCATCAACATATAGAGATCCCAAGATGGTGGGAGGAAGTTCTTTTAATACAGAGTTTATTTTTAAACTAAACAGGGTTACACTAAGCACACAGCCTTGAGGCACACCCTCTTCCTGTTCAAAAACATCTGACAAAACAGAGCCAATTTCTTACTTGAAAAGTTCAATGTTAAAAAAATTCTGAATGAAAACTGGTAGGTTGCTGCGCAAGCCACTCTCGTGAAGATCCCGAAGTATACCGTATCTCCATGCCTTATCATAAGCTTTCTCAATGTCGAAAAATATTGAGACAAGGTGACTTCTTCTTACAAAAGCTTTTCGAATAGATGTCTCTAAGAGGAGCATGTTATCTACGGTTGTTCTCCCCTTTCGAAAACCGCTTTGATAAGGTGATATAATATTATTTTTTTCCAAGAAGTAGACTAGGCGGCTGTTTACCATCTTTTCAAACAGTTTGCAGAGGCAACTCGTAAGGGCAATTAGCCGATAGTTGGAGGGATTCCTTGGATCTTTCCCTGGCTTAGCAATAGGAATGACAACAGCTCTCCTTCATGCACTGGGAAAGGCATGCTCCTTCCACACTCTATTGTAAAGAGTGAGAAGGACATTCAGTGACTTATAGGACAGATGCTTTAGCATTTCGTAATTCACGCCATCAAGACCCGGAGAAGACCTATGTGTCTGCAATAAAGCACTCCTTAATTCAA